AATATACAATGCAATCCAGAAAAAAAAATCCGGAAACGTCAAAGAATTTATTGCGCATGAATTATATATTAATTATTATGAGGAAAAAGGCATAGACCGCTACTCGCGTTGCACGATTTACCTCGTGTAACGAGCTCGACTCTGTTCGAAATAGTTTCCATTCTTCGTATTAAACGATGCAAGGGCGCGAGGCGCGTTTATAGTGCGGAAAAAGAACGCGTTCGTTATACATCGACGGGATAACATTTATACATCGTGCGATTTCACTCGTCGCGATAACTATACGCATCTCAGCAACACACAGAACGGTCGCAAATATTTACGGAGAACACCGACAAATCGATGCTCTATCCTTCATGCTCGAACGCAGATCGGACTGCCCCTTTACGGGGCAGTGACCGAGGTGAGGGGAGGAAAATATAGGTGCAAAAATCGATGACGCAATCGTTTCAGCCCGCGTCAGTACCGGCTAGCGGAATTTATCCGATAATGCGATGATACGGCTGGCATGTGGTGTGTGCGGTGTCGCTAGTTAACTCTCTATCAACCACTTCCAAGTCACATACCTGTATATTTGCTCCTACGGTGGATATTATATGCTGAGAAAAAGAACTAATTGGATGAATAAAACCGGCGATTATGCCATCGTTCAATCTATTATTAAATTACTTGAATGATACAGATTGTATAATTAATGCAATAATTATTTCGTTGATTACGTATAATTAAGAAGATTACTAACATTTTTCCTTTCAAAGTTTTGAAAATAACTAAGTTTATCGAGATGAATAGTGTTCTTATTAAAAAAAAATTACTTATTATTTTCTAAAGTACATCGTTTGCAATTTTACTCAAGAGATAATATAATGGAAGTATACGTAACATTCTCGATTAAATATCCTCTACGTAGGAGAAAATGTAAAAAGAAGGAAGTGCGTTACATCTGTCTTATGTAAGATTTGACGTCGAGAGGAAACATACCAGGGCATGTTCAAAATGATTTCAAGAACTCGAAACACGTGTTCGTCCTTCAACAGGAAGCGATGCACACCGTTCTTTTCACGTTTAATTGGCAGATTTAACTCGAGAGGATTCAGTGACTAACACGAATCATATGTTGTACCAAACATTCAATGCACGTTGCATCTTCGAAAAATATTGTTGTGAAAAAGCGAGATAAAATAAACGATCTATTTTTAAAAAATCTATAAGTTACATTGTGAAGAAATTAAAGAGCGTGATAAATCGACAAAAAAGATTGATTATCGGTAATTTTGAATCTCTTAATGTTAAACATATCAACTTTAATTTGCGTAGATAGGTATAACTATACATCAATCTTCATTTTCCGCAGATTTTAATACGTAATCCAACTTGCACAAACTCTACACACGTTACATAAAATGCCAATTGCTTGTCATTATAGTTTTACAATAAATTTGATCACCACAAAATGTTTTAAATATCGTAATTATAATTAATTGGATATCGTATGGGAAAATAAAATTCGATATTGGAAAAGAAAAAAATCTCGCGAGATTTACAATGTGTGAGGGCACGGCGTGAATTAATATTTAGCTTTCACATTATTTCGGATAAATCAAAGCTTAAATTTATACATACCTACTATAAATTCTATAGTTAATCTTTTAAACGACATTCATATCTGTTCTTCATACTATGCAATAATTAGTTACATAATTTTTTTACGTATTAATGTTTTTGGAGATTCGACTAGAGATTGTCCTATATTTCACCGATCGATTATACGGAAAAAAAAGAGCCTTCTCTCAATTTTATCAAAAATTCTGGATAATTTTCGCAAAAGGATTAAATATCCAATATATGCGTATCTTCAATAATAGCCAAAAATGCAGACGGGATCATTATCACGCGATAAACGTAATTATTCTCGAGCGATTTTCGCTGGTTACTGCGATTAATTATCGCAGCCTGACAAGCTGTATTGTTTTACTTTACTGTCCGACAAACGCTTCTACCAGCTCCGGGATAGAAACGGTATAACTCGCACTTGTTCGTAACAACGTCGAAACAGCGAGAGAAACGAGGAAGCGAGGCAACGACGTGTAACAAAATGCGCATGTGAACGAGGCAACGCGCGGATCGAAGTACCGGAAAACGAACATTCGCGGTTCGCGCAAAAATACTCTCACATAGGAGAAGACACGTTGTCGTTGACGACGATCGTTAACCGAAAATCAACAAGAGGGATCAGCGCGGATGAAAAGAGGCACGGAACTTTTTGCGAGATTGAATTTTTTCTCGATACCTCGGGGCTTTCAAATATTCCAGATGAACGATCGGCGCTTGTTTGCGAATCTATCATCATCAACGAAAGTAAATTCTAAAATATGATATGAAATATAAAGTACACTGAAAATAAATCCAATTTCGATCCGCATCTCTCTACTTTCCCTGCACAGTAATCCTTTTTGAATTTTTCATATTCTAAACACATCTCTTCTCTATATATTCTCTTGCCTATATCCTAAATTAATATTCCAAAATATTTATACGTGAAAAAATGAATTATAATAAATTGTATTATAATAAAAATACTTGATTGATAAAAATTCTTCGATAATTGCGATAACACCTCTGCTTCCAACTCGCAAGAATGCATCATCGGAACAATAACGAATAACGACATGTTACATGTTACCTATACATGCAAACGAGCTTTCAACGAAATTGGATCTGACAGAATCGCTCTTTCGCCTGCGAATGAGAAAAGTTTGACCGAAGAGTATATAATGCTTTTCTCTCGATAGTCTCCGCGGACCTTCCCCTCTCTCTCTCTCTCTCTTTCTCTTCGCTCTTGCTTCGGAGAAATTTCGAAAATGAAGATCGGTGTTGGATAAATACAAGCAGATTGCGTATCGACACGACGAATATACATATATCTGCACGCAATCGTATTTGCGCGACGATGTATCATAAATAGAAAATATTTTGTTGCTCGCAATTTCCGTTCGTTCGTGTTACGTGCGCGCTTCGTGCACGTAATGCCAATTAAAAACACGTAACGCTCTCTGAAAAAAAAAGAACATAAAAAAACGACAAAGAGACAACCAAATTATTAATACTACGCGACATCGAAAAACGATAAAAATTCGAGCCATCTCGTCGCTTCGAGTCCGCGATCTCCTACCGAAATCACTGCGACTGCACGTGGTTCAACAATGTCAGTTAGGTCAAGGTTCTCCAACGCGTGCACAAAATGCCACATTGCATTCTGATTCACGAAGAAATCTCTGCTAAATATACCCCCTTCCGCGATGGGAATGCGGCGCATAACATGCAGAAGTTATAATCCGACAACGCGGAATTATATCCCAAAGGTTTAAACAATTCATACGTTGAATACATGTAAATCACTAAGTCGCATAATCGGATTTGTTGGAAATTATGCAAAAATTTTCGATTTCTCTCAAAACTTTATAAAATATCAAAGGTTAATTATAAAGGTCAACTGTTAATTGTAACAATCATCGAAAGAATTAATTTAAAATGATAGATATATATTTAAACTGTTTTTTTCCGATTTTTCACTAGATATTAAATGATTGCAGCATAAATAAAGATAATCATCTTTGGTATTCTAGAAATTATATAAAAGCAATGGCGTAATATGAACGCTCACCGATGCGTTCCTTTTGCATATTACGCAATTCCCATTGCAGCAACCATGTATATACATGTATATACATTTACGATTCGCGATTAATTTATCATGTGTTCAGCGGCGGTATCGAAAGATAAAAGCTTCTGTGTGCGTTAATATTTTAGGAATTTATAATGCATGTTGCTTCCAGGATCACCAGAGACATACTGAACGATATTTTCGAAGTTATCGCTATGACCTTCCACGTTCTCGTTACGTTTGCTTCCGGTTTCCATTCATAACTGTTGATTCATAAAGCTATGCATTTTTCAATAGTTGCAAAAATTTTTCTTTTCTCTCGATATACGATATTAATTTTTATTAAATTCTTTCTGCCACTCTATTAGTGAAGATAAAACTATTCTCTCAAAATAAAAAGAAATTATTTTTTCTTAATCAATAACTTGATATATTACAATTAAATAAGTATGTTAAAACTCAAACAGATTAATTAAATCTCTACATTAAATATATTAAATTTTTGAATTTTTTAAATTATAATTTTTGTGAAGTATCTTGGAATCGATATAAAGATGGAATTTCCCCCCAAAAAATTTGAAATACGTATTTTGTATATCAAATTGATATCTTTTTCCAAATTCATCTACCATTATTATACCAATAATAAATACTAATAATAAATACTAATAATAAATATTAATAATAAATACTAATAATAAATTATATCTTAAATTTTTTTCACACAGAAACTTAAAATAATATATAAATAGTGTTGCATAGTATATCGATCGCGAACAGATTTAGAAAAATGAAATATCAACACACGCACGCGTTAACATATCGAAAACGAATAATATGAGTGTTATATTCAAAACTCGCGTGCAGTTCCAATTAGATAAAGAAGACTGCTTTCAGAGCAATAAGGTTATCGCGGAAATAAATTGTGGTTTGCGGTTTTAATAATATGTGTAGTATTACTTTTTCAAATTTGACGATTTAAAATTGTATTCCATATTAAACGCAATAAAGTGCTATAGACACATAAATAAACAATCTCATTCGATTAAAAGTTATCAATAGCTAAAAGCTTTGCAAATAATGTGCATTAATATTATCATTGAAAATTCAACATTAATTAACCTATACGGTATTAACCTATTAACGACAATAGTCAATCCCGCAAAAGTTACGAATCAACGTTAGCGAAAGGATAAAGAAATATAAATAAATACATAAAAAATGGAAAAAAGAAGACGCAATAGTTCCGCACCGATAATTTTTCGCGCGAGATGAGCGCAACTCACGAGATTTAATAATACGATCGATGAGACCGGCTCGCGAAACTCGAACGCACCGAACAGGGCGACTCTGTGGCCGTCCAAAACAACCTGTCCTGTTTTTGCCTCCTGTCCGCTGCAGCTGCCGCGCGTAATCCACAGATGCGATCGCACTCCGAAAATCGAATGTCGCGCGACAAATTTTCACTTCACACCAACGCGATTTCACGACGGTTTCTTGCCGAGACGGCTCGCCGCGATGATCGACGAAAAACGGCGCGACGGAATCGCCGATGCTTGGCGCGCGAGAAACCGGGGATCGCGTCGAAACGCGCGCCACGACGTCCGAGAGTGTACTGGCGCCGCTGGCGCTGCCGCGCCTCCGCTCACGCGCACCACGATGCGACGCCGTACAGCCGCGCCCTCTGCTGGACGCTCCGGAAAATAAATTCGGAGATGCATCGATACGTCTCGCGCGCCTCGTGAACTGTCACTCCGGCTTGAGGGGCCACTTCCATCTCAACTTCGGTTAATTTAATCGTCAATTATAATTTGCACAAACAATTAGCCAACAATCAAATTTATTTTGTTATATTATATACGATAATTCACATACGATATCATTAGAAATATTTTGATATTGGTCATCCTGCAAGAGTTAATTGACGATTAAATTAATAAGAACTTGATAGAAGTGGTCCTGATTACGACACGGTAATACATAATGTCGAATGAAATCAGATCATAAACCAAAATACAAATTATGAAATGCATATTTGTTCGCAGTTATTCGCAGTATCTCATCTTTTCCTTTTTCGAACAATTTTAAAATTTCCTCGTTTTCAAGGATACCCTCGAAGACGCGTAGTTATTGTTCGAAAGTGAAAACGCTCTTCTTCACTTTCCTAAATTTCCTGTCCTATATTAAATCGCAATATGTCGTCGTTGATGCTCCATCGGATATTTTGATTTACAGTAGCGGAACGACGTGCCGGTTTTTGCTCAGCGCGGGAAGGGATGGTCCACGTGCGCGCGGAAACGAGTAGATTTCCTACAGCAAATTAAACTCCGAACAGGAGGTGGCGACAAGTCGACCCGAAGGCACAGAGTGTGAAGAAAAGCGGAGAAACGCGGCGATTTCCTTCGGTTTGATGATTCTACAGCGCGCGCTAAAAAAGGGACGGAAGACTTCCTCTTTTTTTTTTTTTCTTTAATTATTGCGTTTAAATCTCCACGAAAACGCATATACGTGGGTCGCGAATTATGATTATTCATCCGTTGTGCTTTTGAAATATGACGAGACTACCGCAGACGCCAATTAGAGAAATGATTAAAGAGATGTAGCAACGCGCGGGAAATCTCTTCCTTTCAAGGCTATCCCAACGTTTTGAATTTGCAAAATTAATCCCGTTATATTGTACATATATGTGGTAATAATTTTTTCTCTATGTATGCTTTAAGACAAGGAAATTTATCCATCAAGTTTATAGTTGTTTTCAAAAAACATTAATCATCTGTATTTTATTGTACCTATATTTTTAATTAATAATCTAAATCTATTCTCTTTATCAATTAGGTACAATATTGTTTTATCTATCTGATTCTCATATTCTTGGATAGTATAGTAACTTCTGATTTTAATCGAGAGATATATCTGTATACGTATTATATGTATACGTATTATATACGTAATATTATATATAAAATATTATATAACATAAGAACAAATTATATAATAAAAAAAAAAGAATTGAAATATGCTGTAGCTATTTCTAATATTTTCTACAACTTCTCGTAAAAAAAATATATAGAAATTCGTGATCTGTAAAGTAAAAGATCGCGTTTTATCATTTGCGTCTGATGAAAAACTTCAGCTTTGAAGACTCGAGATTAACATGAAAAGATCGATCGTGGTAAATTTAGCGTCCACTCTCATAATATAGCTGCTTCTCTTCTACCTAGACACAAAACGCTCGTTATTTTACTCCCATCGCGATTCGCTCGTTAATAAAGCCTTAATTAGGCAAGTTCGCCTTTTTATCCAAATGATTTACTTCCGGTTCCGCTTCCTCCAACTTTCGTGCAAACGAATTAACTGGGATGACGTTCATCATCGTTATGCAGTCGATTAAAGGATTAATATTATTCGTCTCGTAATCGAGAAACGAAATCAATAGCCACGAGGTTTACACGCCGCAAAGAACAATTATATAAATTAAAAATTATATATAAAAAATGTATAAAAATGATGTAATATATATAAAACGTATATAACACGATTATATAAAACAACTTGTAAAATTTACAAATCAATAAAATGATTTTTAGAATTCGATTTATCAACGATTTATAAAATAAATGTACTCGAGACAATATATCAGAGAATAAAATTTAAGCGAGTTCAAAAGTCAAAATCAAAAATAAAATCATAGAGCAAAGAAATCTCGATCTATTTTTATTTTAATCATACATTTTTAAGCATACATTTTAAGCATTCTTCTTATTTTAAAAGTCAAATATTTTATTTTTTGTTGGAATACGTGCATTCCTTTCCTCCCTCTCCTCCTTTACCTTCTAATATAAAGAGTGAGTGAAATCTAAAGCTTTCTTTTTAAAGTAATATTATCATGGAAAAAAAAAATAATTGACTTTCCTTGAAGCGCGTGCATGCGTAAAATAATAATTACGTCTACCCCGGTGTCTCTCCCATCGATTTCTATGAATTTTCATTAACTCACGCAACATCCATTAAACAGAATAATCAAAATGGCAACTGTAAGTCGTTCTTGTGCGCCATTTCTAGGAATATGTTCGAGATATAAAGTGGAATTTAACATACCGTTTCGTTTTCATTTCCTTTTACGCCGCGTGCAATACGTTTAAATAATTTTTGCTCCACAATATGACGTCAATTTTCACGCTAATTAAGTTTCGGAGTCACGCCAGAGCCACGAGTAAGGCAAAAAGATTCCTACTTTCCTAATGTAATTATTGCGTCGCACTGAAGTATGTCGAATAACATACCACTTATAAAATACGAATGATACGTGTATTTTTTATCTATATTATGACATCGTGAAAGTTGCAACGTGAAAATTCCGACAGATCGTCTTATAAATACTGAAGAAATCGAAGATATGTATTCGCGACAGACATACAATACATATAATCCATCATTTTCGTAACATAAATTTTATATCATTACTCAAGTTCTCTTCAGATTTCATGCATCGTTCCGATTTAAATAGATATATAGTTCTCGATGTAATAACCAATTTTAATAATAAAAAATGCATATCGACACATATTACTATCTATATCAATATCAATATTTTTCTCTAAACATTATTCTTTATATTTATTATTTCATAAAATTATTGATTTTGTAAATTAATATAGCGCGATACTGAATAAAATGAAGTCACGATATAACATGTTAATCTCGATAAACAGCATGATCAATCAATAGTTGCTATTCATCTTTGATGCATTATTTCCATCCTACAGCAACAGTTGGCTCATTTCGCCTTCGTTTCGGTCATTAATCGTAATTTACAATGCTTGAATTCAGCGTTTATATACCAACATCATACAAGATACAATGCGAAAACGGTATTAAAGGAGATGGGGAATAATAACATGATAAAATTCGATCGTACAAAAAATAAAGTTTGGTTTGGAACAAATTCTTCGTTCTTTGAGTTACCAATACCCGCTATCGATACTATTATCGAAATTATACTATCAGATAACATTAGTCAGTTTTTATGTCAAAAGCTTTATTCGAAATTTATAAGTCCCAGATTATTGCCAAACAAAAAAAAGAAAAAAAAAAAGAAAAATGTGAGAATATTGTAAATTCTTTCAATAACATATAGATCTTTTTCCTTCTAAATTATCGAAGATTATTTGATACAGAATCAACGTTTCTCGTAGAGCGCGACTTAGTACAGCTCCTCGTGTCGCTTCTACTCGATCTATCATAATAACAGGTCCAGAATTATGTCTCTCTCGTGTGTACCGACCGTACTATCTCCTCGTGTGCTTGAGCCTTCGCGAATCGTTTGCCAATCTACCGCACGTGTATGTTTCTGTCCGTCCTCTCTCTCTCTCCGACGTTGATCGCATTCTCCTCCTGTCGTTGGTATCCTCCTCTCGCCACGATATCGGGTCGTCCTGCTCAGCAGTGGAGGTGCCATATCGACCTGGCCGCTCTCTCTCTCTCTCTCTGTCTAGACTAGACCTTCACCAGAATATGCCAACCAAGCCGGTGATGTTACAGGCTCTTGTACCGTTACAACGCTCGCTTTTTTTCGTCCTCGATAGACGACGTCGATCACTTCGATGAGAACGATGTGAAATGAAACGACCGTTGTGATAACACAAGTCGCAAACTTGCTCGTGTGAGTTTGTATTGTATTTACATTGTAAAAAACCGTTTAAATATTTGCACTATATATTTTGATATTCTGCCAGGAATTTAAGCAAATTTTCAGATATTTTAAAAAATTTTATATTGTTTAAAGAAATACACATAAATTTGTCAAAATGGAATTAAAATACACATATTCATCAAAAAATTAAAACAGCAAAATTTTTGTTTCTCACATCTCATATAACAAAATATTATTGACGTTGAAATTTTAATAAATTTTAAATGTAACTTCGCAATATGCTTACAATAAAAAATATGATTGTTTAAAAATATTTATCACTTTTATAAAAGTAAGAAAGTTATTATATCAAAAATATGATCGAATAAAATATGATAAACGAAAGCAACGAAAGACGAATTTCTCCATAGATGTATTTATATTACGAGTTTTTACACAGATATAAAATAATTCATGAGATTTGTAAATTCTGATACGACACATCTGTTTCGATTTAGAATGCGTCGTTATCAATGATAAGTAACTATGTATACAGTAATACTAGAATTGACTGATGTTTGTCCAGAAAATGATTCTGATCTCCCCTTGGTGATAATTCCCGATAATGAATGAACGGCAATGCCTTTCTAATTGAGCACACGTTATCCTAATTTGATTCGATCTGATCTAGTTATGCAATTCGAATCGAGAAATGCATCGATAGATTCACTGGAGTTGAAACAAATTTCAAAAATGACAACATGTATTATTTCCTCGCGAACGGTCGGATGGCTACGTGAAAAACACCCCGCTAAAATCATCACGTAATTCATTCTTTCCCTTTCTCTCTTTCTCTATCTCTCTGCTTTTGATATACCTGTCGATAACAGCATTGAGAAATGACCACATAACCGCGAGAATGTAGAAAAAAAGGAATATAAATATGAAAAAAATTACATACAGTATAACGAAAGAAAAATATAAAATTT